GACCTGGACACACTGGAGAAAGGGTTTGTAATGACGACCTTTGTTCAAGTTGAATAAAAAAAGAACTCATTAAAGTGTTTGGGCAAATGTGCTGCTGTCCTCAGACATTAAGTGACTTTGGCCACATAATTTGTTATTAGTAGGCAGTGTAGGATAGTGGTAAGGAGCAGGATTCGTAACCGAAAGGTTGCCGGTTTGATTCTCTGTTGGGGCACTGCTGTTATACCCTTGGGCAAGGTACTTCACCCAGAATTGCCTCCAGCTGTATAAATGGGTAACATGTATAAATTGTAACTTACGTAAGTCACTCTGGATAAGAGCATTTGCTAAATGGCAATAATGTAATGTAATGTGCTTGTGTGGTATGCAGTGGACTAGGTGTCTGATGTGTATACTTGCCGTTCTCCCTCAGTTTATCCATCCCAGTGCTGAACATGCTGTTGAATGAGCTTCTGTGTGTCAGTAAAGTTCCCCCTGGGGTGAAGCACGTGGATTTGGATCTGTCTACCTTGCCCCCCACCACTGCCATGGCTGTGCTCATCTACAACCGCTGGTAATGGCACTCCTCATGGTGACCTTTGAACTCTTACAAAAATGCATTGAGTTACAGATGGTTTGAGAGCTGTTTGCATATTTTGTGGTGCTGTCATTCTTTGTTTTGTACTCAGCCTGTGTTTGCAGCTGATCCTGTTCTCTTACTCTTTTACCCCCCAAGGGCGATCCGGACCATTGTGCTGAGCAGTTTTCCTGAGAAACCGACCAAGCTTGGACCTCACCAGATGAACATGTTAGTATTCCATGCTAGCATTTAAACTTGAATTGGGCTTTTTACTGTTTTGAGTTTTAGCTGGTGTGTTGGAATGACATTTCAATTCTTCTTCTTAGGTTGAATCTCGTGCAACAGGAGAAAGAGTCAACTGAAAATATTCTGAAAGTGGTGGGTATCGTATTTTCCTGGCAGTAGGATGGGTTACAGTACTTTAGAGCACCTAAGAAATATTCACACTTATATCTTATTACCTTTGAAGTTAAAGAAATCTGATTTGGCAAAAAGTATTGTTGCAAAAAGGATGCTGTAATTCAGTTTTTCGCAAGTAAGGCAAAATTCTGTCAGTAGCTGCTCAAAGTACACATAAATGAGTGATGTAGCACTTCTCTCTTTTTACTCACGGCAGCTGAAAGAGCAGTCAGAGGACTCAATCATGGTCTTGGAGGGGGCCCTCAGGATCAAGAAGGACTTCTACATTCACACCTTAAGGACACTGGACCTGCTGGCTGCAGATCCCCCAACGACCAATGGAGAAACGGAGTGCTCCACTGCTGGCCTTCAGATTAGTGCCGACGAGCTGCACTGTCAGGTACCTCCAGAGAAAATACATCTATGAAAGATTAAAAAATAGTATTGACACTATATACTGCAGTATTGCCTAATTACACTCCCGCTTGGCATACTGGGACTGATTCTATAGTTTCACTTTAAAAAAGCCATTTTTCTGGTATGGAAAGCAAATGGATATTTTTTTTCTTTTTATATAAATCAGGAGAAGAAATGGATCAGTGCATTTAAGTGATGATGAGTTTTTGATCTCTCTCCTACATCCTTGAATTTCTGTTTTTTTGTCTTGCAGGTGCACTATGACTTAGGTGCCATCTTTTTTCAACAAGGCTGCTCAGACCCCTCTTCATATGAGAAGGCCAGGGAGCACTTCTTAAAAACCAAAGAGCTGCTCCTTAAGGTATTGAAATGTGTTCTTTTATTAACACTTGTCTTACATAACCTTACTCACCTCTCATTTATTTGAACCTTTGACTAATCTTTTGAGTATTGTTGAACAGTCACCAGTGAGTACTTCTGTGCATTCTGTTTTAAACTTTTTTCCTTCGGTTTTCTTGGTTTTTGCTCCTTGCCAGTTTTTTTTCCTGCTACGCCAACAATCTCACATTCCCTGCTAAATGCAAACAATGTAACGTAATGTAAAAAAAGCCTGAAGATGGGTAGCTAGATGTGGATGTGGTTGTGGGTGTGTTTGCGCGTGTGTGGGGGGGAGTGCTGATTTCTCCTCCATCTGCTCTGTTGCAGCTGGACTCGAAAGCTCTTCACTGCCGTTTGGATGAGAAGCGGCTGGCTGGGTACTGGAACGCCTGCAGGGTCCTCACTGGCCCATCAGACCCCAGCGATGCACACCTCACCCCCTACGGACAGATAAACACCTTCATCAAGACACAAAACTACCAGGTGAGGACCCGTCTGGTTTCAGCAGAAAGGAAGTAGATGCCGATTTCTCTGACGTATGTGTTGTTCTGGTAAAAGGTTAGCTTTGTGTCCTCTGACGCTGTCTGTCATTTCTGTGTAGCTGTTGAGATGTAGAAGTTAATGGTCTCTCCCTGTTCTCTCTAGACTCTCATTGAGACTTTCATCAAAGACAACGTGACCCTCAGTTTGCCCAACTATTTCCGACAGTCCATATTGAGGGAGTTTGTGCACAAAGCCCAGCAGGGGTAAGTGGCATTAACCGGGGTTTTCAAGGCCCAGGCAGGGCTGAGTAGGAGGCCAGACAATTGGCCTAGTTTCCTAGTCTGACAGGAAAGTTAGACATTAACGGCTGCAATCTGGAGCCTTTGATTCTACATTTGGAATCATCTGTCGGCTTAGCGGCACCTGTGAACCTTCTTTGTGAAGTAAACATTATGGGTGAATTTGAAGGCCAGTGTTTAAAAATATGAGCACGTGTCTGTGTGTGACGGAGTGCCGTCACAACAGACCCGGGTTCGAGGCCGGGTGGGGTGACTGCTCTCTCCCTTCGCTACACTGTGTATGAACAGATGTTCTGGTTGACCCATCCCAGAGAATGCTGTACAGCTGTGTGTATCCAATGCAGGGAAAGGAGCTTGGACGAGGTGTGTCACAAGCTGTGCGTGTGCAACGCGGTCAGGGACGCGCTGGAGGGCCAGGTCGTCAGCATGCTCTTCCAACAGCTGCTCCTCAAGCCTCACAAGCGCGTGATCGAATTTCTGCTGGAGGTGCGAATCCTGCGGCTCTTTTAAGCGGACGTGAAGTCTAAATTCACAGGTCTGCGTTTCATTCCATTTCAAAAACTTGGTTATGTTTGTTTAGGTGTGCACGAGGGCTTTGGACAAGGAACGCGCTTCCGAGGCTGCAAAAAAGAGCATAGCGACTCTGTTGAAGTAAGTTGAGTAGAATTATGACTTGTAGGTGTGGGATAACAGCCTAGCCATGATGGGGGTCTTGAAGCCCCCAAAATCAGGCATTATGGAGAAGAACTGAGGCCTGATTGTGTGTGACTCCCCTACACAGGACCCTGTGCGAGAGCATAGAGGAGCCGCCGTTGGTCTACATGGTGTCCTCCCACGAGCTCTTCACAGAGCTGCTGCCGGAGGAGGAGAGGACGGCCCTGGTGGAGCAGATGAGGAAGAGGTCGGCCAGCGTCAACCTGTGCGCCAAACCGCTGCCCTCCTTCTACGACATTCCAGGTATTTCATCTACATTCACATTTATTCATTCGGCAGACGCTTTTATCCAAAGCGACTTCCAAGTGAGGCAGAGTACAACACAAGCAAAAGCCATATAAGGAGTCAACAATATTAGAAGTGCTGCATGACCAAGTTTCAGTAGGTGGCCAGACAAGGGACAAGAAATTACAAGAAAGATATTTCAGAAATATCAGTTTACTGAAATGTTGTGTGTGTCTGGCGTGCCCCATACGTGCGATGAGAGAACTTGTTTATTGAGGCAGCGGAGGTGCTTGTTCACTGTGTTCACTGTGCTCACTGTGTTAAAACAGCCTCGGCCAGCGTGAACATCGGCCAGCTGGAGCACCAGCTTATCCTGTCCCTGGACTCCCGGCGGATCAGGCAGATCCTGATAGAGCTGCATGGCATGGCAGAGCGGCCGTACTGGAGGGTGAACAGCAAGGTGAGGCACACAGGGAGCCACAGCAGTGCAGACCTTAAAAGTGTAGTTATGTCAGAGTTCGGCTCCACGAACCCCAAGTTTTGTTTTAAAGGGATCATTGAAGAAAGAATTTTCCTAAGGAGAGCAGTCTTTTGATTGGATGATTGACAGTGCATTCTTAATACATACTAAAAAACAGGGTGAGAGTTCAAAAGAGGGTGTTATGACTGCCACTTTTATATGGTATTTTCCTTATTTAGCTTTCTGGGTCAGTGCTATTTTTTCCTTACTGTAAGCTTGAGTATGTAATTCATTTATTGCAGATTATCTGTAGGGATAATCATTGCATTTTTTAATTGTTGTAATCTTCCCATTACTCTGAATGCAACAATGCAAAACTACTCAGTTATATGTACTTGTATGAATTCATCTTATACACGCTCTGCCTTTCATTTCCCATGTACATCCAGTGGGAGGTTCCAGCAGACTACATCAATGTGATACTGGGCATTAAGGATAACCTGACACGGGACCTGGTTTACATCCTCATGGCAAAGGGCTTACACTGCATCACAATAAAGGTTAGTCACTCTAGCTTCCTGCTAGGCTAATCTAACTTAATATATTGATCATTACTGAAAGGGTAATATAACTTAATATGTGATGTTAGGATAAATTATATATAATGAAATGTAGTGTGTTATCCTGAAAGAAAAGGCAAGTTTTAAAGAAGTGAATGTATTATTAGCAGCAACAGTATTTTAATGAGTAATGAAGATGGAGCAGTAAGGAATATTAAAGAGTGAGGCCCCGGTGAGTGTGAATGTCGTACTCCTCGCTGCAGGACTTTGTTCATGCGCGGCAGCTGTTCTCTGCCTGCCTGGAGCTGGTGACGGAGTTCTCCCCGAAGCTGCGGCAGGTGATGCTGAACGAGATTCTGCTGCTGGACGTGCGCGCCCACGAGAGCGGGGTGGGCTGCGCCCGGGAGCGGCCCCCTCCGGACCTGGTCAGCAGGGTGCGCGGCTACCTGGAGATGAGGATACATGGTGAGTGTGGAGTTCCCCTCACCGCAGGTTTAACCGTGGTCGGTGGTGTGATGTAGTGGTGATGAGTTGGGCTCGTAATCGAAAGGTTGCCGGTTTGATTCCCCCACTGTCATTGTACCCTTGGGCGAGCTACCTAACCCAAAATTGCCTCAGTAAATATGCAGCTGCATAAATGGACAATATGTAAAATTGTCACCTATGTAAGTCTCTGGATAAGAGCGTCTGCTGAATAACAGTAATGTAGTGCAGTGTGTTGGTAGATATGTACAGGTAGATAAATGCTGTTTCCTAGCAACTGCTCTCCAGCCATGCAATTTTTCTCTAAAGATCCCACATTATTATTTTTACTCTTATTTCTATTATTTCTACTCACTGGTGATCTTGAGGGCTTATTTTGCAGTATTTACGGACTCCCTCATGTTTTTTGTTCCAGATCTTCCCCTGCGGCAGATCGTCGGAGAGGAGTGCGTGGCCTTCATGTTGAACTGGCGAGAGAATGAGTACCTCACTCTGCAGGTGCCCCAGTCCCTGGTGCTGAACAACCCCTACATCAAGGTAAGAAGCAGAAGCATCTCAGCTTTAAATAAAAAGCATTCTCAACCTGTGGATCTGAATCATTAGCTTCGTCAGAGGTCTGTTTGGACTTTTTGAGTGCACTCTGGTTACAAAAGTGACGCATGAGACAGAAAGGCTCTTGGTTCCTTTGAGAGAGTGAAAGAAATGCAACAGCTAAATGTAATTAAAGGGTTCCAGCAGCATAGTTCTGATCGTGATAGTTCAGGGTATTGATGCTTTTACCATTTATGTGTTATGCTTAGAGAACTTCTCAGCTAAGTGGCTTTTATTCTTTCTCCCCATGTCTCTGCGCTGCTTGTGCCCACTCTGGTGCCTCACAGCTGGGGCAGCTCCTGGCGGCCACCTGCAAGGAGCTCCCAGGCCCCAAGGAGAGCCGCCGGACGGCCAAAGACCTGTGGGAGGTGGTGGTGCAGATCTGCAGCGTCTCCAACCAGTACAAGCGAGCCAACGACGGCCGCGTCAGCCTGATCAAGCAGAGGGACTCCACCCTCGGAATCATGCACCGGTACGGCGTTGGGTCACAGACAACACAGACCACCAGATCACATACAGGCAGCGTGTTGGTTTGCAGGACCAATGTAGAAGTCATGCGGCCACATTCTGAGTATTTCACAGTGCAGACCTTCCAATGTTAAACACATTACTCCCAGTATGTAGGGCTGTCTTAGATGCAATTCAGTAATCAGTTTCCACTCAATCCAGTTCTTCTTTTGTCTTTGTTTCTCAGAATGTTTTCAGAACTCTTAATATATTATCTTCTGTGCTTTATTGTTCTAGGAACAAATTTGTCACCTTCATCAAAAAGCTTCGGGTGAGTAGGAAAGGGCTGGCTTGTTTGCCGATATGTGAAATGTAGGATGCTTGAGAAGTTTTTGTAATAACAAATATCGCTTACCTTTGTTCTTTTTCTCTCGTCTCTTTCAGGAGCCCCTGGTGCTGACCACTCTGATCTCGCTGTTTGTGAGGTTGCACAGCATTGTACGGGTAAGAGCTTCCCCGAGGCTGATACGTGACTGGTGCTCAAACAGGAATGTACTCTGTCCTCTGATTAATGTTGTTCTTGTTTGCAGGATGATATTGTCAATGAAGTCACAGCAGAACATCTGTCCATATGGCCAACAACTCTGCCAAAGTAAGATTCTTACAATCACTTTTCTGCATGTTGTTCAGCAGTTTGTGTTGGTTCTCAAGGGCACACTGGACCCAGGTTGGATGAACCTACTAAGCATGCAGCATTTTCAGCACTCTCAGGGTAGATACTGTGCTAAAGCACTGATCAATACACAAATGACTGAAGTGCATTTTTCACTGCCATTTTACAGTCGAATTTAAATTATTCTTTCTAGTTATTTCATTTATAATCAGAGACAGCCGGCCCTCACAATTAATTCTAACTAATGTATCATTTATTACACTGGAACTGTGAATGTGTGTCAAAGAGAAGAGCTGCTCTTTCTTTAAGCCTGCAGTCTGTGGATGTGGAAGCAGTGGCTGTGACGGTGAAGGAGCTTGTCACCTACGCCCTGACCCTGAACCCCAACAACCACTCCTGGCTCATCACTCAGGCCGACATCTACTTTGGTGAGTCTGAAAATAGGGCTGGTCCAGCTAGCAGTGCATGGCAAAATGCAGCTCGCCGTGGGCTTCCTGTTGCCCCTCATTCAGACACAAAAAATGCATTGATATGCGTCAAAAAATTCAAACTTCTTGTAATCCCAGTATAAAGTTACTCTGCGTGACCAGGATCTGTTGTTGTTATTCCTGTTAGTTTGGTTTTCCAAATGGCTGTTGGTTGGTGATGTGAAACTTTTGCTGTTGAAATGTGCTTACCTCTTCTGAAATGATCATTTATCACTGAGACACAAATGGAAATGAGTAATTCTTTATTCTGAACATGATAAATAATATGTGTGTATATTTTTAGAATGTGTCTGCATTGTTTATACACATATACATGTACTTATTAAATTAATAGGATGCTCTAGAGAATAGTACCCTGAGAAATGGTGCAAGGGATTTCAGCTGGCAGCAAAGGTGGACCTCTGGTGCAACCTCCCCCCCAGTCTTACTAGACTAAAAAATCTTCCCTCTGATTCCTCAGTGACAAACCAGTACTCAGCGGCCCTGCACTACTACCTCCAGGCTGGGGCAGTTTGCTCTGATTTCTTCAGCAAGGCTGTGCCTCCTGATGTGTACACTGACCAGGTAATTAGCCAGACCCCTAAATATTATCTGTGTGCTTCTGTCTCTGTCTTGCCAGTTTGTAGCTTACAGACCACAATGCTTTGTGGTCTATGATAGCTATGGGTAATAGTTTTTTTGTTTTTGTTGGTTGTACCTTTGGGGAAGGCTGGCTTGGCCTCAGTGGGAACTTAAAGAATGACCATGTTCCCCATTTCAGTGGTTAAATGGCAGCTGTTCGGTTCCATATTTGAATGATTTTGCTGTGGCACTGTGTGTCTTTATGGATTAAAGGGAAGTCATTTGAAAATATGCTTCTTCCTGACAGGTCTTGAAGCGAATGATTAAGTGCTGCTCTCTGCTGAATTGCCACACTCAGGTATGAATTCTCCTGGTATCGTTTGTGTATTTTTGCGAACACTACTTTCTTTTAGACAAAGTGCATCGGTCATTTGTTTTCATGAATTTAACCTTTTCCTTTTTACAAGATGTTTCATAAACTTACCTCAGGGTCTTCTTTTATTTGATACCATTTGTGATGTATTAGAAAACAAAGCTTACCCGTCTTCTCACCTTGTTCCTGATTATCTGTAAAGCACACACCACATGTCTTTGTTCTGCATTAGATGTGTTATAAATGGCCCTTGGTTTTGAATGGAGGGGTGTCCTTGTTTTCTCTCTTCATGCTATTTAGGTTGCAGTTCTTTGCCAGTTTCTCAGAGAAGTGGACTACATGACTGCATTTAAAGCTCTCCAAGAACAAAGCAGGTAGAGTACTCTGTCCTTTTTGGTACAGGAATTCATTTTTTTACAAGACAGTCAAGAATTATTGCAGATATATATATTTTTTCTTTTTTTAGTCATGATGCCATGGACTCCTTCTATGACTACATCTGGGACGTCACAATCCTTGAATATCTCACACGTATCCTTTGTGTTTGGCTTGGGGTTTGTCATTATTTGAGATATGCATAATACCTTGGCTTTTTTAAAGGATGGTCCATTTACGTATGTGTGTGTTTGTGTATTTCTTCCTTAACAACCTATCCAGACATTCACCACAAACGGGGGGAGAACGAAAAGAGACAAATAGCTGTGAGTTGTCAGTCCTTCAAAGTGTCCTTATACGTAATCATCAGGATTGGTTAGGTAAAATTTCAGTGTGTGATAGTTTTGAACCAGTCCATTGAACAGGGGCTTTTGTTCCTCAGATAAAATCGATTGGCCAGACGGAGCTGAATGCCAGCAATCCTGAGGAGGTGCTGCAGCTGGCTGCTCAGAAGAGGAAAAAGAAGTTCCTGCAGGCCATGGCTAAGCTCTACTTCTAGCCAAAATGGGACAAAACTTAAAATTACTGTATATATATTTTTTTAGTTTGACTTAGAAAATAAACCATTCCAACAGTCCTATTTGTGTTGTTTTTAGATTCAGTTTTTTAATATTTTAAGTGTGAACAATTTTCTGAATGCAGCTTAATTTTCCTAGGACACAGGAAAATTAATCTGCTGGTTTAAACACCTTAACAGTGTAATCTTCGTGCCATCAGGTTTTGCTCATTTAATTGCCAAGACCCTCCTGAAGGTGGAGCAACAGAGCTGATCAGATTCTACCAGAGATGGTAGCTTGGTACGTCCCTAAACCCCCCAAAGCAAGCCCCACCAAAAAAGAAGAGAAAAAAAACATTCTGAATAGCTCGACACAGGTCCAATCCTATGTAAACTTGCAGTCTTGTTTATTGGTGTATTGAAAAGACAGTCTGGCCACATGAAATTACACATCTACACAACAGTACCAATGTATAAAAATGTTCAGTTCATACACACAGTGGTCAAAACATAGGGCCCTACACTGTAACTAAGCCTGATGCATTACTTTCCTATATCATGAAATAAAAATATTTGGTTCCCAAGTACTGAATTTCATTCTCATACAATAACAAAATCTTAGCACATATTTTGTGTTCTAAGAAAAAGGCACTTTTTTCTGTGCTGAAACACGCAGAAAGCAAACTTGCAGAGTATGAATGTGTGTACATCAACTTCAGGGAACAAATGCTTCCATTATTGTCAAAATTTTTACATTAATCTGTACTAGTACTTAAAATATTTGTAACTTAAAACTGCATTCTACAAAATGGCATATTAGAAACAAGTTTCAGTGAGTCCACAAATCTTCACATATTATGTTTAGCATGTGTATAGCACATACATTCATACTGTACATACAAGTTAACACAATGTATTTGTTTTCTCCAAATAGGATGACAATGACTAAAACAGCTTCATGACAAAGTAACTTAATGTTATCGGCTAGCTTTCTACCTTACTATACAGTTGCCAAGATTATTAGCTAGCT